ACTATTTAATACTACAACTCTATCCTTCAGCAAGAAGGTTCTGAGAATTAATTTGTGGGCCAGCTGGGACCCTTCTGTGGGTTCTTTAGTACTCTGGCCTCCTCACAGTCAAAACACGTGCTTGTTAAGTTAATTGGTGCTTCTAAATTGGCCTTAGGTGTGAATGTGAGTACGAATGGTTGTCTCTTGTCTCTCTGTGTTAGCTCTGATGGACAGGTGAACTGTCCAGGATGTTTTCTGCCTCTTGTCCGGTGACAGCTGGGATAGGTTCCAGCCGGGAGACCCAGATTTCAATTAGCAGTTAAGAAAATGGATGGATAGCCTTCTTGAGAAGACCTTTGGTGCACAGCTGTTATTTGTGAGAGAACCTTGATTTTCATTTTGACAAAGTAGCAATAAATAAAGTTCAAAATGAATGAGCATTATGTTCACCGAGGCTCAAAAAAGGGCTAATTTTGAGGTCCCAGTGAATGTCAATAATGGGATTGAGATTAACAGTGAATTACCACTTCCAGTGACGTAAAATCTGTATTCGAATGCCTGCCAGGTTGCTGAATCCACCCACGGGCACCCACGTGTCTGATAATCTGATAAACATTAATTTTTACACAACAAACACAGTTTGTGTCACCATTAATCATGTCTGCATGTTACAGCGGGTACATAGCACACTGCACATATGTCACACCGGGATGCGGCGCCTCGATACAGTATGCAGGATGTGTCATAGGTTGCACGTGTCATCCTGTCTTCATTCTCTCTCCCTCCATCTCTCTCCCGCTCTCTCGAAACCTGCTTTCTAATCAATAACTCATCTCTCGATGTCGATTCCCCTCTACCCCCACAGGAAAACAAATGTCCTTCCACAGGACAAACAAAGAGAGGGGAGGATGATGGTGGCAGGGGGTGAGGAGGGATGGCAGTGAAGTAAAGAGGTAAGTAGATAATTGAGAAAATACTGTAAACCCAGTGAAATGGTAAAAAAGCCTGTTGCAGTGAAGAGGAGGGGAAAGGTGGAGAGGACATGGGAGGGAAAGATGGGGAGTAGAGTTACAGAGGGAGGTGGAGGGAGAAGGATTAAACGGGCAGCCATGGGATGGATGATTAGCCCCTGTCTCCAAGGTTACACTTTACAACTGTATCACTGCAGAGCGGGACAGTGGTGATGTGAAGGAAGAGCGAGTGTGGGGCAGTGGAAGGGTGACACGGACCGTTCATCACACCAGAATGAATTAAAGAAGACAGAGACACCTCTTTCTGGCTGTGACCTTCACATTCAGAACTAACTCCAGCCTTGACCTCCAGACGAAGCTCACCTCCCAGAGTAACCATGCAGACGACGCCAACGCAGCATAAGCACCAGAGCAGAAAGAGAGACAAATGGCAGTGAGGAGCAGAGTGACATCCGACGGGCCCCAGAAGGGAAGAGGCAGGAGGGAGAAATCACTTAGATTCCAGCCAACTGCAAGAATTGGCCTTTAAAAAGGGAAGGGGAGACAACCTCCCCCCCCCCCAAAAAAACCCCAAAAACTCATTTGGTCCTCCCTCTTCCTTTTTTTCTCCGCCTCTTTCTCAAATCACTATTCCAATCCCCCGTCACTTTTTTCCCCACTGCCTTCAATCACAACTATTTTAACATAAGTAAAGCTGAGAGAGAAATAGACCCTTGTGATTGAGTTGCATGCTTTTGCCTCAGTGTTTTGTCACATATAAATTGCCCTGGATTTCATGCAGTCTGTTCTAATCTTATACATACTGCTGCTCTACCCTTGAGTCATGTAGATACTCGTGTCGGTGAGGTGAAAATGAGAATTGTTAGGTGGTTTTGCATAATCTATTCAGCGCGGTCGTGGACTGCACTCTTGATAGCATGTATGCAAAAGGAGGTGGCGTTGTATCAGCATTTTGAAGTTCCACCACATGACTCCTCTGGAAAGAGCTAGCATTCGCCTTACTGATATCCTTCCACCATGCACTTAAACTAATCCACCCATGCAGAGGACGTGTCACTTTTTTTTTTCATATGATAATACAAGTTACATGATGTTCATGCAATTCAAACCTGTTTTATTTAACACTGATTGTGCACAGACTTCATGCAAAAGAGGACAGTGCTTGTTTGCATTTCCTTCCCCCCCCCCCCTTCATGCACACACCCACACAAAGGCTGGAGGAGTAATACATAATGTGTAACTGGATTACAATAATCTGATTACAGAATTTACAGAATTTTGGAGGGGGGGGAAGGAAAAGCTAAGATTACATGCTAGATTACAGCTTTGAAAAAAGAATAAATACGTCCTGGTTTACATGTCAAAGCTGCTTGAAAGAAAATGGAAAAGTTCATGTATTAGATTTGAACAATTGGAGTAATCTGAAACAAGTAAAGCCAGATTGCAGTACCTACATATAAAACACCTTGACGAACAAATTCACACAGTGCTGAATATTTTTAGTATTTCTGCACTGTTGCTTTGAGGTAAAGTTATAGTCTAAAAACATCTAAAGCAATCAGTGGCGAGGACAAATACTAATATATAAAATTTATTAGAGACGCTAAAATATTTGAGGGAGGCTTGGCAACTATTACATTACATCTACCTAAATAACAGACCGTTGTCTTGGAACTGTGGAAATTTCTCTTTATTTTCATGTACGTCATAAGCCCACGTCAACAGTGCCAGAAGGGGGAGACAAAAGTTGTGCACTGCAGATATAAAGGCAAATAAAGTAAGAATGATACATTGGGCCTTGAATGCTTCTGAAAAATAAATGAGGCATTTTAGGCCAATTTATTAGACTTGATTTTTCCACAAGGGAAACACCAAGTCAAGTTTTCACACTGGATGCTGTCTTGCATGTTCGAATGATACAATATTTAAAGGTTTTCTCTTCAAAGCTGTGTTAACGGATTTACTTTACTGACTCTAAGGAATGTTGGTCTTTTGATTTTGCTGGTCAGTGCACCACTTTGATTCCAAAAACTATTTGATGGCTTGTTGCGAAGTTTTTTTATAAGGTTCTATGGTCCCAGTGATGGATATGAATATGTTTTTTTTATCCCTTGGCAACACCATGAAGTGCACATCGTAGTTTAAGGTAAAATGTCTTAAACAAAAAGTGCCAGCATAACATTTCATTTTTGCAGCTATGCTATGCAGGCAGTCTTCAATGCACGTGCAAATTTTAGTTTAAATTTGGCGAACGCTAACCACAACTGTGCACTTTGCCTGCACGTTGCTTGCTGCAAACCACTGAAAATAATGAGTGTCAGATCAGAGCGCAGGCAGGTGCTAGATCCTGTCCGAAAGCACCTTAACAGATCTGCTAGCTTGGCTCAAAATTATCATCTTTTTTTAAATATACATGTTGCTGTGCAAGCACGATTTTAGCACTGCAACTTGCAAGACCCAAGACCCATCAAGTCTTTGATCTATTAGCCATCTCCAGCAGAGAATCATTGATTATGTTTCATTCCTGATTACATTATTGAACACGTTTTAAACCTGGACACTTAGAGAACTGTTCAGCTAGAACACTGAACATTCTTTTTGAGGAAAGAGACATGTATGCATGTTATCTGTTTTCTCAGATTAATTGTGCTCAGATCTCGACAGATTTGCGGCAATATTTAGTGAAAAATATCTTTTCAGAACTTTCATCCATAGTTTTTCTCAAATGATTATCTGGTCCAGGGCTGCAAAGCTGTTTTAGTCATAGGACAAGAGGCAGTATGCCCGTCTGTCACATACAATCACATCTTCACCCAGTTTAAAATCACTAATTAAACTAACATCGGTGTCGTGGGGCGATCGTGGCTCAAGGGTGTTCGTCTTGTAATCGGAAGGTTGCCGGTTCGAGCCCTGGCTCGGACAGTCTCGGTCGTTGTGTCCTTGGGCAAGACACTTCACCTACCACCTACTAGTGATGGCCAGAGGGGCCGTTGGCGCGATATGGCAGCCTCGCCTCTGTCAGTCTGCCCCAGGGCAGCTGTGGCTACAAGTGTAGCGGCCTTCACCAGTGTATGAATGTGAGAGTGAATGAATAGTGGTATTGTAAAGCGCTTTGAGGGGTCCCAAAAAGCGCTATATAAATGCAATCCATTATTATTATTATTATTCTTGGAACGCAGCTGGAGTATCTAGAGAGAACCCACGCAGGAGGGACATATGCAAACTCAGAGTACTTTTGGAGTTTTGAGTCCCCAGTTTGGACCTTCTTGCGGTGCTTCATCATTGCACCACTGTGGATGGATGGATAGCACCAGACCTTGGTGCTTTTCTTGTCCACTGTCAGGCAGATAGCCACAAGAATTGTGATATTAAAATTGTTTATGATAGACTTTATTTCACAAACATGACAGGAGAATCAGTATCACAGTAAAGCGGATTAAACCTAACACACCCCTACACCCATAATCTGCACCCATACACGCAAACGCACATATAAACACACACAAATATTGTAAGCCAATAATTGTAACCCTGAGTCAGTACTATTCAGAAGCTGACCTCTTGGCAATCCCCCAGCCAGCACGAGCTAAGTGTTCACCGCAGGCTAAACAACATCCCACAGAACAACACACGCAGACATGCACCCACGTGAACACAAAGACACACAGGCATACAAGCAGACGTAGGGCGCAGGCGTAGGTCAGCAGCTCGGGTCACAATACACACCCTGCAGCCAGCCGGTCCACAGCCTCAGTGTCAAATCAGGTTTAACACAGTGACACAATCTCTTGGAAACACACTGCTGCAGCACGCTGAGGGAAAAAAAATGATGCTGACTGAAGGAAAATAACAGCGACATGGAAGAACACACACATTAAGAATTCACATGAATTCATTCACACATATGCGAGGCAAAATAACCTGCGGAAACAACATTTGTTACTCTAATGATGTGGCACACATGGTCTTCCACTTTTTTTTTCTGTCTCACTGATTTTCATTAATAGACCTACAGTCATAAATAAGCAACACGATCTCACATTGCAATTTGTGAAAAAACGTTATTTTTATTTCATAAATTTCTCAGTATGGCACATGAACAGAGATCGAATGTTCTGAAAAAGATTTGGCACGGAACCTTGAAGCAGAACAAATCCACCGTTCTCCACACACACCATCTCTCTCTCACACACACACGCACACGCACACACCCCTGTGACATGTTCCTTCAGTGTTAATATGCACATCTGTGGTTATAACAGGTTAAAACACAGTCTTAAAAACAATCACAAGAACAACCATAGTCAATATTGCAGAAGAAAAGCTGAAGAGAAACAAAGAAGCAGATGGAGGCCATGTTTAATTGAACAGAGGGAAGGAAATATCAGAAGCCTTGGTTTGTTCTGGGTTTGTTTTCCATTTTCCTGAGAGAGGATCGGAGTGGTGCAGGGGGCTAACCTGGAGCACGACTGCACGTGTACTTGTTTATGTATGGGAGGATTAAGGGGTTAATGCAGAATCACAACATCTAGCTGCAGGGGGGGTGGAAAATGGCAGTAGGAGAAGGTGGGTGGGGTGAAACACCAAATATGAGGTAGATAGAGAAGAGCGGAGGAGGAGAACAGAAGGGTTAAGGGGATGAGAAGCATGAGGGGAAGAAAGGGGGGATAATGTAAGACGTACTCCTGTGAGCAAGCAAGCATACGAGTGTGTGTGTGTGTGACTCAGAGGGAGAGAGAGGGGGGAGAGGCTGTGACTGAGGCTTTAGCTACATTTCTTAAGGAGAGGGTGAGAAAAGGCAGAGAAGCAGGAGAAGTCAGCCATGCTCCTCCTCTGCCTCCCTTGGGTCGGGGACAGAAAGGAGTCATTTCCCCTCTGGCGCTGGGTGACATATAAGCACCACAGCGGCCCTTCCTCCTTCATGTCTTTATCTCTGCCGCACACAATTACACAAACACGGATACCGTGCGCACTCGAGTGCACACAAGCACGCACGCAGCCCACTCGGACGTATGCATAAATATGCATACTTATGCCACTCATGCGGCTATTACACAAGCGCACACTGAGCTGGAGCCTTACACTGGTGCACACGCATGCAAACACACTCGCACATGTAGAGTAAAAAAAACTGTACAGATATGGAGTGACAGGATGTCTCTCATTGTCAGCTTTCATTCCTCCTGTCATCCTCGTCCCTTTGCAGTCTATCTCTCCTTTCGCTTTCTCTATTTCTGTCTACTCTGTCCTCCCTCGTCACTCTGTTTCCTTTGGGCTCAGAGGGTGGGGAAGCCAGAGGCGACAGAAGCTGTTGCGTGGTAAGCAGGCTCTAGCGAATGTGGCACTGGCATGACGGGATGCACAGAAAACGCCGCAGCTTGAGCACAATCGAGGCCACTGCGGTGCCCATCGAACGTCGCTCGTAGCCGTTCTCGAGCATCAGGGTTAAAAATATAACTTGAAAGGTTGGTGTCACATAGACTGCGAGCAGAAATGAGAGCAGACATGAAATGAGGGTACTAAGGGCCAGATCGGATAAATAAATCAGCACCAATGAGAGAAGCAGCATGCCTCACTGGCTGACATGAGGGGGTGGAGACAAAAAAGGGTAAAGAAAAATCAATATCTCCAGTAAAAGTTTATTTCATATTGATGACTGTTTACAACCGCTTCAGCTTTTTCTAAACTTGAGAGGATGAACCAGGTCTGATTCAAAGCTCAGCCGGGGAAGCCGTAACTGGGTCAGTGCTGATTTCTACTCTAGTTTCACCTCTCCGAGACCAGACACCGTCTGACTTGACACTGAGTTGACATCCAGTGAGGGTTTGACCTCATGTCCTCTGGGGGCTCTGTTGCCTCAGTAGACAGATAAGCGGTTAGACAACTCCATTATCAAACCACCAGCCTACATACATATGGCTGTCACTTTCTTCTCCCTGCCCCCCATAAGGTGCTCCAACCAGACCTGAATTTACACTTCAAAGCGTTGAAATGTACTCCGTGGCCCCTGCCCAGCTTCAAACAAACATCACACACACACACACACACCAGTGCGAACATGATGCCGAGCCAAGGCTCCCAGAAACAGTAAATCTGGAAGCTAGACTGCTGTGGATAGCAGGGAATATGCGTTTGGAAACTTAACTGTAAGCATGTCCGCTGAGAGGAGCACAGCTGCTAGGTCAGCACATCCTTTAATAGTTACGAGCTTGTTCAGGCCACAACACAAGTCCCCGAGTCGGCGCTCATCACAAAACAGGAGGGGAGTTTTCCACAGCGCTCGAGGGCATGAAGTCTCTCCAGAAGTTTCCAAATCCCAACACGAGCCGCAACATCCCAGATTGTTCTCAAAACACAAATCTGCATTTGAAAGTGCAATATGGTCGCTGTCAGATGAAAACCTTCCACAGCCCCAAATGTCAGCTTTTCAGGATCTAAGAAAGAACGGGCCTCTTTTGTGGAGTTCTGAAAAGGTTTCACTTCCAAAACGGCCTGTAGCGTCTAAGAACAAATACTAAAATATAATCACTCCACTGATGTTCAAAACTGCAGTTGGAAGGTTTTCACACGACAACACTGATATTCTCCTTTATGAAGCATTCATGAGAAGCTCTGTGTTAAGCAGTGCTCCAGCTTTATGATTCCCATTAATCGGTACTTTACAATTACATGGGCTGTGAGCGTGTCCCATTTTGCTATTCACAGCAACTCTGTGGATTTTTCTCAGTTTTCCTCTGAGCTGCAGCTCAGCGGCCCTCTGACCCACAGCTGAGTGACACAGAGGAGATAGTCATCCGGGACGAAACACCACTCATCACTCTCACGTCATGGCCCACACACTCTGACAGCCCTCTCTGACTCCACACAGCTCAAAGCTCACAAGACGGCCAAAATGGACATCTTGCGCCCGGTGCCATTGTTTCCAAGGCAACAAGGAAATAAGCCATGCGCTAATGTCCCAGTCGCTCTCAAATTACGGACACCTTCACAGGATGTAAAACACACACGTGTGGACTGAAGCATGATGGCAGCAGTTCAGAGGTTTGCATTAACCTTCGCTGCACTCAGCTGCAAATTGTTTAAGAAAGCTGCACCTCAATCAATAAATCACTCCTTCAGTCAGTGTCAAGAGGGCACGCGTGCCCTGGTGTGTGTGTGTGTGCACGTGGTTCTTAAATGTATAAGTACCCAAGTGCACGGTCAGGTTTGAAAAGTGGCTGCAGAGCAGGGTTTTCACAGTGATGACACAGAAAAAATGTCTTTGCACATCTCATCTCAAGCTCTGGCAGGAAAAAGAGCATCGCAGTGACAAAAAAAGTTCCTCAGTTCTCTCATAATGTGACTGAACACAGTGACCCGGGCATCTGAAAACTGGTGCCATCAAATCGGCCTTAGACCAGTGTGACGGCGATAAAGCCAGCATAGCGAGACAGGGCTGCTGCTGTTGGGATGGTGGAGTGGAACGGTGTGGGGGGGCTGGCTCGGTGACACAGTGGCACACAAAACACTGCTGCACTTATTAGAATCGCAGCACTCATCATGTGAGGAGACAAGCTGCAACATTTGGCTCCCGTGGACCGTCTTGATGACCGTGTGAAAAATAATAGCTATAACGATGCATATAAATTACAACCCGTTTGATGCTTCTGGCCTCTGCAATGTGGAGAAAATTAGCACTGGTGACTGCACATGCATCATTGACACCCTGTGTATCAATAATGCATTGAGTTCGGCTGTCACTTCTCTGCTATTTTTAAAGGGGGGGGTGATAAAAAGAAATGAGGCAGCGTGGTGCTCACACGGGGCTTGTAGTGCTGAGGTTAACATGTGTGCGGGGCTGCCCTCGGGGACAGGCCCTGTTTTCAAACAGTGCTGGTCGCAACAAGCGGCAGGTTGAACCAGTGTCCTCCCATCTGCAACTACGCAAACCTCACCCACCGCAAGCGAGCTGCCCAAAAATCACTTCATGTGCAGCATTACTGTTATGACTAGTCACATCACCGTCAAGGTGATTAACCACAAAACAGCCACTGAAAATGCACATTAAAAATCACTTAAGCTTCGCCAACAGGCGTTTCCCTGAGCCAGGGCAAAACAATAAAAATAAATGGCACAATCCAAAACGCTAACCTTCATTAGCTGGCTAAAAGTGTGAGGTAAACATAAATTGCTGCTCATCTTGACCCTTGACCCCAAACTTGACAGGGAGCTAAAAAGACGATGAGGATTTGGTGAAAGAGGAGGTCGCCTCGATCGAGAGGACGTTTCATCACTCCTAGTATGCAGAGAAAGAGAGACAGAGAAGGGGGGGCTGCTTACGCAAAAAATAAATAAAAAAATGTATTTTTACTTTAAGTGTCAGTGAGAGGATCACAAAAGTTGCCTGAAGCAGAGGGAGACAGACAGAGCTGGTTTAAACTGGGGATTTAAAATGGAGGTCTGACCGCCCCTCCTCCCCTCTTTACACAACCGAGCTAGCAAAAGCCCACCTGAGCACGCACGCACCTGTGCAGGAGCGCACACACCGAGCAGCGCTGCATCAACAATGGTGTAACATCTCTTGCCATAAACAGCGTACCGCTTCAAATGTCCTGATTTCCTTGCCTTACACAACAGTACAACGGGCATTTTATAATCCAGAGCTGCACATGCACTAAACGCACTCAAGCTTGGACTCACACGCGCACATATTCTGGTGATTTTCACCTATTCCCCGAATGGGTGAATGAGCGGGTCCCTTCCTGCACAGTAAACACAGCATTTCCATTAGATTGTTGGGAGTGTGTTCAGTGCTCTGTGACTCAGACACTGCAGCACTGTGACTGTGTGTCTCCAGCTCAACCGCTGCTCTCTCTCTAACACCGAGCCTCAATAACATGGCCTCTGGTTTGTGCCACTTCACAGGAGCTATAGGGGCTACGCAGCGCTTTCCAAAGTGGCGAGCTACCACAGGCGATAGGCAGGGCACGCAGTATTTGAAGAATTAGGGGGGAAATAGCTTTTGTAACAGTCCTTGCTTTCAGCCACAAACCTGGCGCGCGCACACACACACCACACTCTTACCCACCAGCATGCCCACATGATAATTTCACTGTTATTTGCACACACAGAGGCAGATGAATATGTAAATAACTTGTGAGCAGAATATGGATCCCTTGTGCTTGGGAAGGAATATGTTAATGAGAGATGCAGGGTATGAGTGTTGATCACAAGTGCTGGGTGCATAAATGTGTGGTGGCCTATGCAAATTAAACACATAGGGGAGAGTGGCATGTAAATCGTATGATTCACTAAGAGAAAGTCAGCGGCGTGAGAAGTATAGTTGCTGGTGTAAACAAATCAAACACATTAACGAGGAACATTACCGGGGTGAATTACTTGGCATGGAAAAAAAGAAGAGGAGTTCTATACCCTCTGCTCTCGTCTGTTTAGCATTCGAAACCCAAATCAAGACGCTGTGATAAGGGCTGTCGCAGCAGCAACAGTTGCCAGGGAAACCTGATGGCAAGATGCTGAGGGTTGGAGGGTGGAGGGAGTTTTATGTGAGGACATGGGCACAATGCTCAGGTTGATTTGCTACCACTGAAGGAACACTGGCCGGCTCGTCGAGATATGGCACCTCAAAAGGAACGAGACGGACAGGAGAGGGGGAGGGCGACCCGCTGCCTTACGAGGAGCCGATGCTGACGGCGTTTGGCGCATTAGTCTGAGGGTGTAGTCATGGCAACGAGGTGTTGACATAGCGCAATCGCACTCTGAGCACTGTGATGGTGATGACATTCACGAAAAGTACAGAGCGAGTGTGATTGAGCTTGTAAACCGGAGCAGGGCCTTTCCTGTCCCCCTGTGCAGAAAATAAAAGGACCCAGTGCTGACCATTTCACATTCGCTATGTCTCATCTCAAGAAGAGCCAAAGGGACACAAACAGTGATACTACAATTAAAGTTGATTGTAACATAAAGGAGAAAAAAAATATATAGCCACCAAATTTCACAGACTTCCACTGCCATTTTATGTGCCAGTTTTTTTTTTAATTTTAAAAGTGACCTCTGCTAACAGAACATCTCTCATAATTATAACCAGTGTAATTAGCTAATTATAATAACAATAACAATATTACAATAAAGATAACACTTGATTTAAAAATAAAACAAAAAAAAAATCAAACTAGATAAAAACCCAAAATGAAAAACACTTATCATAATACTTTTGTTTCCTTTTTTTTTAAAAGAGATCTATAAGGTTCTATATTTTTTTTTCATTTAATTGTACTTTTTCTTTAGAAAAAAAGTTCCCCCCCATCTCTGTTTCCTGTACTGCACGTCACTTCCTTCCTCTTCACTGAACGAGCATCGCTTACCTTTAGAAATGCTTGCCAATGCCTGTCGTCCATTTAGTAGTTCCCTGCTGCCATGAAATCCACTCACACACGATAACACTGAGATACAGTTGCGAGATAATCCTCTGCAAAGATGCAGTCTTCGTCAAAGGTTCGTGTCCTGTCTTTAACGTGTGACAAACATGAGGGTTCCTGACTGCTTGAGACAGTTGGAGGAGTTGGTGAGAACTGGACTGAGGAAGCCATTTAGAGGGGGCCAAGTTATTTCCTGCTGATGCATGTGGAATAGTGGCACGCCGTCCCGCCGCTGTTCATTAGCCGAAGTCCAACAGGATCAGTCATAAACAACTTCAGCGTCATATACAAATGAAAAAAAGTACTTTTCAGTTATTTGTAGGCACAAGTAGTAATAATAATAGTCGCATGAATGCTAATAATGATAACATAATCTCTTGGATAAATCTCAAATGATAGGCTGAAATCAAATCTGGAGACGTCTGTCGAGCATGCTAAATCAGCATGTGCAACATTTTGTGTCATTTCATGTGCTAATCATTAAACGTTCATTATGACAAATAAAGCTAAACCTTGTTATCATTATTACCGTTCCGATTATTATTATTAACACTCCCGCTAGGCTGTAGCTGTACCAAACGATGGAGAGCCGTTGTTGTATTTCGTATTTTCGCAGTAGAGCATAAACACGTCCCTTCTCCGGTGACCCTGTTTATGTGAATGCGACAGGAGAGGGGAAAACACGCTCTGTGGCTACAAAAAAGTCAAGACCAAAATAAATTCACTCAAACATTTTGTCTGTTTTGCTTTTTTTTGTTGTTTTTTTTTCCCCCACTCTCCCACGTGTCCTTATGCGGCACAGTCAGAGTGGCCATTTTGTTCTAAGTTGAGGGAAGTAGTAAGGGGGGGGGGAGGGCAGTGGGGTGGGGGGCACTAAAACAACTGTGTGTGTTTTTCTTTTTAATATATTCTTCAGACGTCGTAGTTTTTAGTCAGAAGCTTGATAAAGATTCTTTATAATTTACTTCTTTGAATGAAAATATATTTACGGTATATATAATATGTACTTTAGTCCTTTTTTTTAATACATCGCTCTTTGTCCTTCATGCCACGGGGTTTCTCCTCTCCCATGATAGCCCACTCTGTTGCTTTCCTCCCTCAAAGAAGACAGTAGCCAGTAAAGTGTGAAAGGGAAAAAAGTGAGAAAGTGAGAGAGAAGTGAAACCACTCAGAAAAAACAATTGCTGTTGTTTTCTCTCCCTGCAAAGTACTAGTCTGTGTTCTGAACAGTATCGCTGCTCTGCTCTGTATTTTAGTGCTTCCTGGAAACCTGGGACAGCACTGCTCACCCAAATCATTGTTTGTTATTCGGAGTCTCTGCCAAACACTAATCTGAAAACATGTTCAGTAGCCAATATTATGTCTCCCTCTAAATATATACACTGAGCGTGTCTGGAAATATACGAAGCTATCTGTAAAAAACATACAGGCTGTTGTTCATAGCTGTCCACTGGGTGAAAAGAGTTGGCTTGATCTTGGACTTTGGCAAAGACTATAGCGGGTTGCGCACATGATTGTGATTTTTGTGGTGATCGTTCCATGTGTTGGTGTCTGACTTAGTGTAAAATTATGTTCAGATGCTATTCGTGGGACTGATCAGATGCAGTACTGTCTCCTTCAGTCTTCCTATCTGCTTCTACCTGCCAAGATTGACAATACAAAGCAGCAACTACGAGAAATTTCATCTTTTTTTTCTGAAACCCGTCCACGAGGACGGTATAGGCTACAGTCAGTTCAAATATTCGTGTACTTTCTATATCACTGTCACTATCCAGCATCCCTTTCCTCTTACCTCATACTTCTACCCTCACTTTCACTCAGATTTGAGTCTCTTGCACATTTTCCTTGGAGCCACTCTTAAAAAGTAGTGGCTCGTTCTGGCCTTTCCCCATCAGGCCTTTCAGAGAACTGTGGAGACCCAGTTGAGGAAGGGGCACTGGGGAGGGCAGAGTGCCACCTGTCGGTGTTCCCCCACCAGCGGAGGTTGGAATCTGGGAACAGGATATGTTCTGTGACTGAGAGCATGGTGAGGGGTTGTTATTGTTGTTGAGGCCCACAGATCCTGTGCCCAGGCCCAGGCCCATCATGTTGTTGTTGAAGTGATGAGTTTTGTAGTAGTGGTTGAGGTGCTCCGATCGAGCCAGGTTGGGCAGGTTGACTATCTCTGGGTGGTGCAGCCTGAGGCTCTGGGTACCTCCAATTCCACTGCTTCCGCTCTGTGTCACGGTGGCTCCGCCTGAGATGCCGCTGCCCCGACCACTGGCCCCAGCGCCGAGCTCATCCTCCACATTGATGATCTCGATGGCACGTGCAGGGCCGTGATGTTTGTGCAGCTGGTGCTGCTTCCTAAGCTTGTAGAACACCACCAGCATCACGGCTGCCATGAAGGTTATGGCTACGAAGCAGCCAATGATGATCTTGGTGGTCTTCATCACATCATCCATTAAGGTAGCGTCTGTGATGGGCTCAGTGAAGGTGGGTCGAGTGGCGCGGGGAGAGGAGGAGGACCAGCTGATAGGCAGAGAGGAGTCTGTGGTAGCAACACCGTCTGGCCACAAATCAGAGGGAGTGGGGCCAGGTGGAACACGGATGAAGGTCTCATTGATGGCAACCAACGCATAATCATTACCTCCTACAGTATCCACAGTTTCCACAGTAACTGTTGTAAAATAGGTGTAATTGACACTAACATCAGCAGCAGTAACGTTGAGGACAGCGGTTGCAGTGGTATTTCCAGCAGCGTTAGTCACCATGCAGGTGTACTGGCCCGTGTCTCGCAGGGTTACATTGGTGAAGTTGAGCGTGCCATCGTGCAGGACCGATATCCGCACGCGGTAGGAGCCGTGGGTCATGAGAGTGCCATTAGGGGTGATCCAGTTGACGGATGTTGTGGATGTGCTCGTTCGACACTTCAGCTCGGCAGCCATACCCTCGGTGACATTGAGGTCTGTAGGTGGCTCCACAATGACGGGCGCATAGCAGGTGAAGTGGCTTTGGTCAAGCTCTCCAATGTATTTGCCTTTTAAGAATGGTGGAGCATGGCAACGAGCGCAGCAGGTGGTGTTGCTCGGCACCGTCTCTTTTAACCACCAACTAAGCCAAAGCACATCGCAGTTGCACACCCAGGGGTTGTGGTTAAGGTGTACCCTCTCTAGCTGGTGAAGGGGTGTGAAGAGATCGTGGGGCAAGGAGTGGAGGGAATTATGGGATAAGTTGAGCTCTTCCAGGTTTTTCAGGTCATCAAAGGCATTGCGCTCAATGACGGAAACCTGTGAGTGCATTAGCCACAGCTTGCGAAGAGAGACCAAGCCTTGGAAGGAGCCGGGACGGATGATCTCCAGCCTATTTCCTGACAGCTCCAGCTCTTCCAAGCGCACAAGAGCTGTTAGTTTGGGAATGTCTTTCAGCCCACACATGCCCAAGTTTAGGTACCGCAGATTGATGAGGCCAACAAAAGCTGCGTCTGAGATGAAATCCAACTTCTTGAGCTCACCCAGGTCCAGGCGACGTAGCGAGGGCACACGGTGGAAGGCATAGCCTGGCAGAGTCTCGATGGGGTTGTTGCGCAGCCACAGCTCCCGCAGCTTGCTGAGGTACTCAAAGGCATGTGATGGCACCAGTGTGAGGCGGTTGTCAAAAAGCTCCAGCGTGTTGAGGTTGGGCAGGCCATTGAATGCTCCAACTTCAATCTGACGTATCTGATTCTTGGACAGCTGGAGGATTTCAAGGTGCCTCAAGTGCTTGAATGTGTCCGACTTGATAACCTGGAAGGACAAGTAACGATAAAGTTACTGCAAAACATGTAGGATTAATAATGGAGCTTACTGAAAGAAAGGTATCTGAACAAAATGAAAAAAAGGAAGCTGTGTTTTACAGCAGCTATTTAAAACAAACTCGATTACGCCTCTCATAATAACAAACCAAATACACTTTTAAAATGTTAATTTGGCTGTCATGCATTAGTTCTCAATGAGAATGAAGATCAATAACAGCTTCCCTAAATGTTTAATTTGCTTTTTTATTTATTAAAGAATACCAAATGATATAAAACCTTTAGCAGACATGCAGCACTAATACTGACATTGTTTATTGTTTATTGTTTGTTTTTTTCCTTTTAGGGACAATGCACATTAATCAAGATTACTGTAATGTGTCAGTGTTTTCCTTTTACAACTATTAAATTAATCTTTTAAAATATTTTAACTTATACAGAGAAGATTTTAAATGATTGTCAAACAATACCAAACAGCCATTTAACCAAAAAATGTCTCATTATATTACGCATTACAATGGCAGAAAGGACACAGTGAGACAAAATAGAAAAAAACAAAACCAAAACAAAACGCAAGCACGCAGCAACTAAGTGTGATAGCAGCTCTGGTTTCTTCTCTTGTGGTTATTTTAAGGTCTAAGATTACTTGCAGACTGTTATGCTCATTCCCACCTGCACATTTTTATCCTTGGATTTTGTCAGAATGCACTGATAGTTAAAAGTTAAAAGCTCATTTTAGCGCTCTCCCTTTAAGCTAAATCTCTTCTGATTTGCTTGTTCTCAAAAACAGGTGGGCTGGACCTCTGTTCCCATGGTCAGAGGGATGAGTCCGAGATGGCTGTATTACACATCGGAAGTGACTGGTTTATATAGTTGCATTAATACATTTAAAGTTGGATGTCTAGGCTTGTTCCTGCAAATATGATACACAGAGAATCAGGTGAGCAGTGAATAAACCTCTCCCCCTGAGCCTACAGGTAGAATCAGAGAAGGTGGAGGGGTTAAAAGAGCCAGCAGCAATGCAGGGGAGCAATGGCACTGACAAGTCAGAGGGAGAGATGCAGAATTTTTCAGATTAAATAGACAGATAAATTCCCGTGACAGATTGGTGATCTGTCCCCCATTGTAGCTTGAATAGTCTCTGGTCACCCCACGATCCTGAATTGGATAAGCTGAAAAGGATGGATGGATGGATGGCAAGACTGGAACAATGTGTTTGATTTCACATGAGGAAAGTGAGTGGTTGATGGTATGTATGTATCCATCAGTGATATCCACTCTCAGTGACATCATGCAGAGCCTAGAGTAGAAAAAAACTGCCTGAGCCTGAACATTGAGAGCAGCTTGAATCCTGATCTTTGGGGTCACAGGAATTACTTATTACTTAGTACTTATTTTGACCTCATTACTTGAAATTTTTCTCCGTATAACATGAGGATCCACCAACAGTATGTAACAGTATATATTTTCCAGACAACAATAAAAAGCGTAATCGGCCCCTTTGCTGGATGTTCCAAAAACGGAGAAAATCCTATTGCGACGGCTGAGTGGCCAAAGAATATTTTCTTCCCTGAAAGACAAATGTCTTCTTTAATTCTGCATTCTGTTATTCTTATGTGTTAATCTGTTTCCAACATGTAATTAAATTATGTTAATCTGTTCTTAGCAAATAATCTTTGGAATTTGGAGATGGTCTAGTTTTTGTAATGTTACAAATCAGTGCGAAAACAAACACACAAAGCAAAGCAAAACAAAAACAAAAAACATTGCTAATGAATGACTTACAGGCTAAATGTATGTTTAAGTAAAGAAGCCATACATTTAAATAAAAATGTATTTTTCTCCTAATACTGATAACTGCTGACCCTCAGCAATTCCTGCTGCTGTCTGCATTTGAGAATGACTCCCTCTGACTATGGAGATAAACATGATCAAATTAAGGGTTTCCCTGGCCTCCACGTTAGACTTTCTCTTAAAACAATATGCATTTGAGTAATGGAGTTACACTGACTGCTCTGATTTACAATCAGAGGTTGTAAATAGCAGGGATACAATAAAGCTTAAGTCAACAACTTTGGCTAACACCCACTGAGAATACAAATCTTTAGGACAATTCTGGACTGAAAAGATGGTGGATGTCCCACCCACGTCCTCAAAAACTCAATCAACAGCCAACACCAACGAACATATGAGCCAAATGTGTTCACATACTAGAGGTTCATGATAGGGTAAGCTGTGAGGCTGCACCTGCTGTCTTTGTAAAGGTGTCATTGTGAAGCCATAATTCAGTAGACTCACCCAAAGTATGTGACAATGAGTGAATCTGCACAAGAGGTAGTTTATTGAAACTAAAGCAACAAACATCAAATGTACTTCATGCCCAGCGAACCAGCTTTTAAAGCCTGAAATGCCCAGATGAGCTGCATTACCTGACGACCCTCCCATGTCAGACTATTGTCAGTAAAAGGAGGCAGGGACTCCCATGGAGATAGTTGGAGGTACGTCACATTGCATGGAGGCAGTATAAGCTTTTAAAGCTTTATCCTGGGCAAAAATATCAGACTTTTTAAGCTTCAAAAGATCTGATTTAACTAGTGACTCTATATTAGCCAAGAAATTTCTCTCCCTATTCACCAACAATTTAAGGAAGATACTGAGGCGTTCCAAAACCAGCTGAGAGACATAATCTCCCCAGCTTGCCATGGGTTTCCCCCAGGATCTTCTCCCACTAGGAAATGCCCCCAAACTCTCAACTAGGAAGCATCCAGGAGCTTAGACTGCTGCCCGCAGGACCCGGACCTGGTTAAGCTGTAGAAAAGATGGATTGATGGAACGGTGGATGGATGGATTCTGCACATGTAGTTTCACAATTGCTCTGTTTCCCATACATTTAGAAAATAATTGCCAATTGGACGGCTATGGAATTGCAAGACTTGCTTCTAAAAGGACTGTTTTTGCCATTTAAGTTGGGGTCAAATACACCCAGTGACCAAAATAAAGTTTTAGGAATTTGATCAGTAGCCCACATTATGACTACAGCACAGCTCAACTTGTACTGATGAAAAATGGCAAAAAAAAAATGGTCACTTTTAATTAGTAGTTTCATGCTTCATTCGACAATATATCACATGACAAAAAGCAGTTAAACTCTTGACTTTTCATTAAATCTGAAAGCACTGTGGTAAATTTACTGTAAACCCAACCCTGTCTTAACCCTGACCATATTTCAGCGCTTGCTGCAGACACAAAAGTGCTTTTCACACCGTTGTTACCGTGAGACTCAGGGGGCTTGATACTGACACATTATAATCCCTTGCTAATAAGCTGATTATCAGTGTTGGACTACAGTATTCGCATAAAGTGTCACGACAAACCACAAAGGAACTATGAAATTAAATTAATACATTTTTACTAAATTTGGTGTGACAAACAAAAAGAGATGATTTTGTCTGCAGGAAGACATGAATCTGAACTCTATGGGTGCCACGGGCCCTGGACAGAGCACAGTAGCATTGGTGTGGTCCAACTGGAGCTCATTTGGCGTGAAGTCAAAGACACACAGTTTAGTGAGCGCGACTAAAAGCCCCTTAAATCTCTGACTGTTTGAGATATGTGCAGCCAAAGCCCTCAGTGAGGCACACAGAGGCTCCTGGAGTCAGGCCATTGCTTCTTCTGTATGTAGAGCAGGAGCGGGGGGAGAGGAAGAGGGGAGTTGATAGGCAAAAGGAGGGAGGGGGCGAAAAGGGAGGGGTGAGGATGTTAAGAGGGGGTGGGAGCTGTCAAGGCTTTACTCTGAGGGTACTCAGTGAAGGAAAAAATAAGCCAGAGAATCTAGGATGCCTTCAGGTGTTAAAACATTTTTAGATTTTTAATCATTTCAAGTGGGGCTGCAGGATACAACAAGCCGAATCCAAATTTTGTAGGCTAAAAACAAAACGCAACAAATACTCTTCTTATTTCCTTATTTTTTCTCCCCTTTCATGTTAACAGCATCTCTTAAAGCCTCACGTACCAAATCAAGTGGCGTGATGTCCCATTTCTGCTCCGTTAACGTCACATAAAGTTTAATAAGATGTTTTCTCCGAGGAATAGAGAATATCAGGCTGCTCGGTCCAATGTACAGAGCAATTTGACATTATAAGAGATGCACTGGACAATTTTAACAACGTTTAGGATACTCGTTGCTTTTCATTAGAGGAGATAAAATGTTGTGGAAATGAATTTAAAACCACAAAAGAACAAGGCACTGTCAGGAACATGAGGATGGATCCAGCTACATCAAATGCTGCAGCAAAGACTAAAATCAACCCACTCGGTTTATAAATTTAGAGATTCATGTGCTTTGTATCGATGGTCTGTGGTTAAATGATCTTCCCCTGCAGCTGTAAAGCCACAAATGCTGTCTAGGGACTCGAGATAAATTGGTAATGCATACAAAAGGCAGCTCAGTGTCATGGAAATCTGCCTTGCTTTCAATTCATAAAATATTCCCTCAGTTCACTAGAGGCTTAAGTGTATTTTTCTACCATTATAGCCACTTACTTTCTTGTCTTTTCTTAGAAATAAAGTTTCCAAGAGAGAACCTGTATCAACAAGTTAATCCTAACATCCACCACTGCAAACGCAAATGTTCGCTCTGATAGCGGGCAAAAAAATGCAAACACAAGTGTTAAAGACACATAAGTGTGCTGGTGTCTGTGTATGTGTTGATTTTTAGATGTGTGCATTATGATGTGAAAATCCTCAATCTGCTATACAAGATGTGACTGTGCTATATCACTGACTATGCAAATATCTCCTTTCATAATAAAAGAAATAAATGAGTTTGTAGAGAAGTGTCAATAGGTTATTTGCTGAAAAGAAATGCTGAAAATGTGGCGTATTTCAAATGCCAGAATGAGTGTTTTCTCTGTGCATTGATTGTAAAAAAGAGAATGAACCATGACCTCCAATCAATTAGTGTTATAGGAAAAATGACTGGCAGTCAGCACCTTCAGAAATTACATCATGCATCATGATGCAGCTTATGATGCTTACAGAAATAAACTGCATGTATTGTATGCTTTTCTTTTTAGCAGTTTATGTGTGAATATTTGTGTCATATTCCAGAGTTTCCCACACACAGACTTTACTTGGGCGAGTCGGTTAGTATATTTTGGTGAATCATTTTAGCATCTTTTTTTATTAATCTCAGAGAACAACATCATCTGCAGTATATTATTATTGGTATATGTTATTGGACATCCCTTCACTCTTGTTTGGAAAATCCAGTCATTGTTAGCCAGCTAGCTCCAGCCCTCCCCCTTTTGTGTTTCCCCATTAGCTAGTGGCTAGGTGACTGGATCACCATTGTGAAGATCTACTATGTAGTTTAGCTGCGTGAATCCTTCCTCTCTCACTCTGGTAGACTCCAATGGCTCGTTCTTGGACTGCAGATTGCCGTGGTAGTCCTTGTTCTTGAGCTGAACTGTATTCAATCTACAACCTGTAACAGATAGTGAACCGCTTCCTCTGCTGCCACCCAAAGGTAACTGAAGCAGAACAATCAGTATCAGTTGGGGGATGTGAGAGTCCTTTGAGAAGCAGCTGATTACTAATACATGATACCTTTTGGTAACTGAGATTCATAACAACAACAAAAGAAAGACTTTTTTTATTGTTGTCATTTTTTATAGCACTATAACTACTATAGGTAGCATATTAGTTCCTTGTTGTAGTGGTTAACACATTCCCCTTTACATCTGAAGGATACTGGGTTCCAGACTGGCCGGAGACAGAAACCCAGCCTCAGGGAATTAAAAGCTGGTGCTCTTTTTATGCCAATCCCAACCATTTCTCGATTCCCTGGCACAGCCCTCCCAAGACAAGTAAAATTTGGAAAATCTGGGAGTAAAATCTGTTCCAGATCAAAAATTCGAATCTATCTGCTGTGGCTCCCATGAGCAGGTACTTTTCTAGGTACTGCAATTCTTTTGAGAAGTGAAAGGGGAGGCATGTAGCTACAAGTGTTCTAGTCTACCCATATATGCTAAAGAAGGAGGCCCATTAAAAAAACATGTGAAACACAGAAGAATTCCCATGGCACCTCAAAATCCCTATGTGGGAGAGGGCGACCAGTGTAGCTGTTGCAATTGCTCTGTCATAACTCATTGATAAGAAAGTGATGATTTATCCTGATTTATCCTTATCTATCCTGCTTTGCAGACCAAGGAGGAAATCTTCCAATTTTGCAAGAAATTTGGAACTAGTACAAACAAGCCACTGGTACAAACTACTAAATATCCAGTATTGTTAAATCCTACTGTTCATCCGTCATAACATACTTAGCAATTAAAATATTTGCAAAGGAACAACTTATAAACTGTTGTTTAGCTCACACGCCTGCTTTTGAGTGCACATGTACAGGGCTGTGGAAACGTGTTTGCCCCTTTTCTTATTTCTTATTTTCCTTCCATATTTGCTACTGTTTCAGGTCACCAAACAAATTTTATTATTGGACAAAAGCAATATAGAAAATGCAGGTTTTTAGTTATTATTTCATTTATTTCATTTGACTAGAAAAGCTAGCTGGCTCAGGTTAACACATTTTTCTGGAGTTCAGTTTCCTTAGACACATCCAGGCCTGATTACTTCCACACCTGCTCTTAAACACTTAAAAAGGACTTGTCCGACAAAATGAAGCAGGCTAAAAGATCTGAAAAAGCAACGATCTAAAGAAACTCAGGGACAGGTGAGAAACAAAGCCATTGACATCTATCCGCCTGGAAAGGGTTGCAAACTATTTCTTAGGCCTTGGTACTCCAGTGAATCAGAGTGAGAGCCATTATCCACAAATGGAGAAAACCTGGAACAGTGGGGAACCCTCTCAGGAGTGAGTGACCTACTAAAATTACTTCAGGAGACAGAAGAACTCGGAGCAACATCTAAAGAAATGCAGGCCTTACTAGTCTCAGTTAAGGTTATTCATTAAACAAGAAGAAAGAGGCTGGGCAAAAATGACATCAATAGGAGACAATAGGAGACAATAGGAGAGCTCCAAGCTGAAAACCACTGCTGACCAAACAGAACACAAAGGCTCATCTCCATTCTGCAGACAAATGAGACAAAAGTTAAACTTTTTGGAAGGTTTGAGTCCTGTTTCATCTGGGATTAAACGAACACAGCATCGCATGAAAAGAGCGTCATAGCAACATTCAAACACGGTGATGGTAATGTGATGGTCTGAGGCTGCTTGGCTGCTTCAGGACCTGAAAAACTTGTTGCAATTGATGGAACCATGAATTCTAGCCTCTACCGAAAATCCACTTGTGTTATGTAGGACAATAAAACGCACCGAAACACACCGACAAGCATCTCTGAATAGCTCAAAATAAAAATGTCGTTTTTGGAGTGGATTAGTCAGAGTCTGGACTTAAATCTGACTGAGATACTTTGGCTTGACCTTAAACAGGCCTTTCATGCTCTACAACTCTCCAATGTAGCAGAAATGAAACAATTCTGCAAAGAAGAGCGAGTCAAAATTCTTCTACAATGATGAAAGAAACACTTGACTGCAGTTCTTGCTGCCAAAAGGACACAACCAGTTATTAATTTTAGGGAGCAATTGCTTTTTCATATAAGCCCAGTTGGGGTTGAATAGTTTTTTCTCTTAGTAAATGAAATCATAATTTTAAAAATGCGTCTTGTATTTACTCTTTGTCTAATTTCAAAATTGGTTTAATGATCTGAAAAATGTAAGTGTGACAAATATAAAGGAAAAAAAACTTCACAACACTAACATCATCATCTCAGTGAATAAAAACATTAGTCATGCTTAGCTCTGCAATGCAGACTGAAATGATTTGACCTCCGTCCACCATTATTTACCTGTATTGAGTTCTCCTGCAGGTTGAGGTATCGCGTGTTGACTGATATGCTTTCTGGCACCTCCTCCAGGTTTTGCCTGGTGCAGATGACTCGGCTGGCCTGGTTGGAGCAGGTGCAGAGGGAGGGGCAGGTGGAGGCGGCTCCCACTAACTCCGGCCCAGGGAGGAGGAGCCGCAGCAGCAGCTGGGCCAATAGAAAGAGGAAGGGGGAGGGGCCGGGAAGGCAGGTCAGCGTGGCGATGCGCATGGCAACTGGGACATGACCCTGCTCTTTAATCCGAAGGTACAGGTGAGGTGACTCCACACTGGTGGATCTGTTAGAAAAGGTTTCCTTTCCCTTTGGTCCTCCAGTGGCAATTTGTTCTTTCTAATTCCGCATGCTCTGAGATGTTTCGTGTCCTCTGTCGAGCTCTGTGTTTTTCCCTCTTGTTTTTTGAACATAGAAATATGCAGATAAACAGATGTTATTCCCTTTTTTTCTGGTGCTGTCGGGGGATTCGAGTGAGGCTTTTTGTGAAGTGAGAAGAACCCAGGAGTTACTGTGAAGAACAAAAGAGAGAGAGACAAAGAGAAGAAGAGAGAGAGCAGATATTAAAGACAGTAGACAGACTACACTTTGTGTTTTTACCAATAGACAACGAACAGAACAAATAATGGGTAGGCAGCTATGATATAGCTTATCATGGGAGGGATTGTCAAAAAATCTTTCAGAAGCATTAGAACTTCTGTGTCACTGCTCATATCAAATCCCACATAATCCCTGAGCAGACATTTTGTCAGAAATCAAATCCTTACACACAGGGCAGATGGAAGCTGATTCTGTAATTAATGTTACGAGGTGGAGGTGTGGAGATACGGAAACAAACAATGTGAAGTGGGACAATCAGGTATTTTGGTCTTTAAAGGATTGCATTTTGTAAATCAATAAATCAGAAAGAAATTAGTTCTTGAAACATTGGCATAACCGCTGTAAACAGATAAGCAGTGTCACACAAAATCGTACTGAAACAGCATGGAAACGGTGCAGTTTTGCTTTTGAGGTTTTCCTGTGCAGATTTCAACTGCTCAAAAGTTTAGTTAGAAGAACACTCAGAGAAGAAGTGATCTTTGTACACTTGTTTCATGTTTAAAAGAATAAGAACACGACAACTGTTGAATGCTGAATATTTACTGAATTACCGTGTTTGGGTGACAAATGTCACTTGCCTGAAATGTAATTTGGGAAAATGAGTTTTGTTGATTTGATGCAATACAGCGCTGAAAATATTAAAGCCTCGAAAGACAATGACATGGATCATTTTGTGCAACTTAAAGTTACACTTGTGAAGAAATGCATATGAATTCTGCACACGTGTTGTCAGCTCGACATGGGTCAGAACTCTTCACTGTGTAAAACTAAGCTCACCTGTATTAAGACATCTGAAAAGGAGTAGTTGAACCAAAATCATTTTTATTTAAGGAAAAAGATAGAAAACCTCAAAGACGTGGCAACGGTGGTGAAGAAGACCTCCCTTTTAACAGGATGAAATCTCTAGCAGTATGTGGGTCAGAGAAGGACACCCATATGTACTGACCAGCTTGGGTTGAGTGGAAAAAGACCCTCAAACAATTTACAGGACAAAACATAAACTACATGATAGTATATTTAGAAGTATATTATGGCTTTTACATTGCTTCAGAAATGGTAGTTTCAGTGGGTAGGAAAATTGTCAATTTGGTAGGTCGAAGATAAACACAGCGCCATTAACAAATGGTTTGTAAAGTCACGTTCAGACGCCTCAATTTCTTTCTTTTTTTAGTTAAAACAGGTGCATGTTTTCTAAAATGGTCATCTCCATCCATCTTTTATATACAGTCTTTGGTTTGTAGACTTTTTTGACTGTTCAGGGGATTACCTGAATTGTTAAAAGTAAGTTATTTAAAATCCATCTAAATTAAACCCAATTTTTAAACTTGCAGTTATATCACTACTTCCAACATAAGGAACAAATAAGTAAAGAAAATAGTTTCCATATCAGAAAGGAATTACATATGCAAGAATGTATGCATGGTTAGTCAGATTGAAGAATTTCCACTTAAAATCTCAAAGCTGTGATATTAACTACAATAATCTAATTATTAAAACGCTGTGGAACATACACAATACACCATTCTCTGCATCAACTGCAATATTTCTGCTGTCTACAGAGTGAATAACAATGTTGGGTTTTACAGGAAATGTGTGATTTGTAGGAGCAAAAGAGACAAAAAGCACAACATTTTGCAAAGGTAGACGTCAGAAAGAATGAAAAACAAGATCTAGGGAGCGGTGGGGTTTCTGGGACATTTGGTCTTAATTCTGAGAAGCATTAATAACACCACTAGTGTGAGATAGAGCCTTCCAGTCATCTCTGCTGTGGTCTCATTTGTTAGCACTAATTATTCCAAGGTATAACAAATAATACGACAATGATATATTGATGTTTGAACATGAACACTTACCACCTTTAATTAAAGTTATCCAGACCTTGAAAACAAACTGAAATCAGTAAGCGCTTTTTTTTGTTTTGTTGCAGTAGCACAGACACAGAGGTGGGACTAAAATGCGGCCGTTCAAGTCAGAGATGCAGAGCCCCTCTGTATCCCTCCCTGCAAGCTGTTTAGAACCTGAATAACCTTAAATAAGGGCATCCAGCAATCTTAGATATTAATGATGATAGTTGTAATGATGGGACTTTGACACGCAAACTCATTTGACACGCTGAGCATCCTCACTTGGCACAGTAAGAAAGGAGATGTTGGGGGGAGCAGAGAATGAGAAGGAGAGGAGGATTATTAATCTGATAGATGACTGTATGGCTGCAGGCAGAGAAGGGAATTATCAACACTACAGTAATAGATGAATACTGAACAGCTGCAGAGAGAGGGCCGGAGAAAGAGAGACAGAAAGGAAGAAAGAGATCGAGACGGAGACAGATGGAGGGAAGGGTGAGTGAAAGGGATGATGAGGGATAAAGACCCAGAGAGAGGTATAAATAGTGGGAAGAGCAGAAAAGAGATGAGTTGTTAAAAAAAAGAGAAGATAAAAAGTGGAAGAGGGAAAATAGGGAGGAAGAAAAGAAGAGACATTAATATTAATCATCTCTCACTCACCAAGAGAGGGAGAAAGAGAGAGAGAGAGAGGAGAGAAGGGAGGAAGGCTCAATAGAGAGATGAATATAAAGCAGACAGAGATGGAGGGAGGGGAATGACAACACAGAGACGCATATAAAACAGAGTGAAGGAGAGATGGAGGCAAAAGACAATACAGAGGGATGAATTTGAAACAGGTGGAGATGTAGAGGAAGAGATGGAGGGACAGAGCGGGAGGTTTCTCCTGAGTGCCAGGGGAGTGGGTGGAGAGGCAGGCTTGGACTGGCTGGGCCAAGATTGATCAATAATGCGTGTGCTCAAGTTCAATGACATTAAAACACACACAAGGACACGATGACAAATCATATCAGCAGCAGTGGCGGCGGGTCTCTGGTCAGAAAGAACAGGGCACCAGCGGTGGCAGCGAAAGCAACAGTCCCACTCGTCTGCAGCTGCTCGTCATCGGCCGATGGATGAAGAGGAACTCGCTGTGCTATTTCTGGACCAGCTCTCACCTTTCTACGTATTTTAATTTCCAGCTACCTTTTTTTCCCCTCTCCTTTTGGCGAGATTTAAGTGCCAGAGCTATTTCAGGTAGACGGCATCAGAGCAGGGTGGAAAGGTGCAAAAGGGGGGGGAGAAAGAAAGAGCGCAAGGGGGAGAGCCGGGGGTGACTGGGGCTGAGGTTAAGATGCTAGCTCAGATGTTGGGTCCATCGAGGAGAATGAGGCTGCTTGAAGCTGACAGCTGGTTAGAGGCTGGTTGATTGTATTCTGCCTCACCGCTGTCACTTTCCACATGTTACAATAGTCTCTAACTGTAACCCTCCCTCCTTATCTTCACTCTCCTCTTCCTCTCTCTATCTCCCCTGATATCTTCTTCCTCCTATCTCCCATCTCATTCTCTAAAAGTGGGAACACTCTCTTCCTCTTTGCAAACTCTTTCACATTCATCCCCCCTCCCTTCCCAGCTGCCTCACACCTCCCCTCCACCCTCTCCTTCTCCTCCTCTACCCTACTACTACATATTTCCTGGACCTCCATCCCTCTCCCCCCTCTTCCCCCCCCCAGTGTCCAGTGGCGGGGGTAAACGCTGCACTGACCCCACAGTTTGATGAAAGATTAACCTGCTACAATGATGCATATTAACCCTTAACCCCCACTCTTTCTCTTTCCAAACACAAACACACTGCAGCTTCCTCCCCCCACTCCCCCACTCCTTTTGCTCTCTCATTCCTCTCGCTGCATTCAAATCTTAGCCAACAGAGTTACCATGGTTACCTATTCACCACAGTCTCCAACTCCGTCCAGCTGTATCCCACCGATTCCACATCCACCCCGCTCTACCTCCCCGTCCTCCCTCATTAGCACCCTATACACACGTATACAAATGGCATGGACCAAGCGTGAGCGCAAATGACATCAATGCTGCGCAAACCACGAGGTAGGGTAACGGCAGGCCGCGGTTACCGTTTGTAGCAGCGATGTCGATACAGTTTCCTTCGTCCAGCGAGTCGCCACAAATGTCAAGCAACCACAAATCACAAGAACAAAGGTCAGGGCCGTTTTTCCCTGAGAGCGATGACGTAGTGGCACATTAACAGGTGCATAAATCGCATTCATACGCAAAGAAAACAACTTTTTGGAATTTTTAAGGCACATACAGCCTGTTTTCCCAAGCAGCTTCTCACATGCACACATTACTGTAGTTACACAGATCTTTTTTTTTTCTTCTTATAAGATTTTTTAAATGTTCTTAGAATAATACTAAATAAAGCTACTACAATTAACATGTTTTAAATCATTGCTGATCACATGACAACTTGAATCTATTTGTTCATAATGAAGAACCTGCAGAAATCTATCATGCAGCTCCCCACTCCCCTTGAGCTCAGAGACATTTTAGATTTACTTTATTTAGGTTTGCTGTCACTCCTCTGATAGCTTGTTATTTGTCCACAAAGGGCAGCTTACATTAAAAAATACTTTAACATGCCCACTGTAAATCATCTGCTCAGCACAGTCAGTTAATGCAGTTTTAAGATTTGAACCCTAGTTTTAGGGACTTTAACCATCCATCCATTTCCTTAACTGCTTATCCAGCTGAGGTCACAGTCAGCTGGAGCCTATCCTAACTGACATCGGGCACACCCTGGACATTATGCGTGTCCATCACAGGGCTAACGCAGACAGACAGACGATCATTCACGCTCACATTTATATCTTCGGACCAAGTCTGAATCACCAATTAATCTAACATGCATGTCTTTGGACTGTGGGAGGAAGCTGGAGAATCCAGAGGAAACCCACGTGGGCAAAGGGAGAAAGAAATCTAGCAAAACTGCCAAATAATTCTGGTGGACGTTTAAAAAAATGATCATAAGTTATAGCTCTGTGTTTTCAGTATGGTTTTTATTTTTATTTAGTTT